GCGAATTCTTTGGCTCCTTAGCCTAGGGTTGTGATTCTCGCGTATAGGTGTGAGAGGTCCTGGATTCAAATCCCGCACAAGCCAGTACTTTTCAGTAAACACATGAACTATATCTTTACAGATCTAATCTGTTGTTAAGACAACAAAATAAGTTGTCATTTCGGAAAACACACTTCCGGTCTCTTAGTAAAGGTAAAGGTTCCCTTGCTCGAAAGCCAGTCGAATCCGACTCTAGGGTTGCGGTGCGAAAGACCTAGAGAAGGCTATAGCAGAATTGCACCGCTAGGTGGCACTAAGGGCACAAAATCGCATCGGTGTCCTAAGGCGAATTGTTTGACTCCTTAGCCTAGGGGTGTGATTCTCGCGTATAGGTGTGAGAGGTCCTGGATTCAAATCCCGCACAAAACAGTACTTTTCAGTAAACACATGAACTATGTCCTTACAGATCTAATCTGTTGTTAAGCCAACAAAATAATCTGTCATTCCGGAAAACACACTTCCGGTCTCTTCCTGTGGTTACAAATATAGAATGATATTTCATTTGATGTCATTAGATGGACCGTGTGGCGCAGTGGCTAAGAATGTCTCTGGGGAGATCCAGGTTCGAATTTCCATTCCTCAAACGGAAGCTTGCCTTCAGCCAGTCATATTCTCTCAGCTCTAACCACAGGAACAAAGTTTGAGTCCAAGGACGACCAACAAAGGTCAATTTTGGGTATAAGCTTTCGTAGGCATGCACACTGTTCGCAAAGCGCTTGAGTAAAGGTTTCCCTTGCTCGAAAGCCAGTCGAGTCCGACTCTAGGGTTGCGGTGCTCATCTCCGTTTCAAAGCCGAAGAGCCAGCGCTGTCCAAAGACGTTTCCGTGGTCATGTGGCCGGCATGACTAAACACCAAGGCGCACGGAACGCTGTTCCCTTCCCACCGGAGTGGTACCTATTTATCTACTTGCAATTTCTTGCTTTCGAACTGCTAGGTTGGCAGGAGCTGGAACTAGAGACGGGAGCTCACTCCGTCATGCGGCACACTCGGGTCTCGAACTGCTGAACTACCGACCTTCCACAGCCTGCAGTTCAGCGTCTTAACCACTTGAGCGCTTTAGCCAGTACATAATAGACACTGGAAAACCAGTTTTGTCCCAAGTGGTCATTACTTGGGGTTTGACCACTTGGGAAGCGTGGAGACAAATTCTGCAGTTGAACGTTAAATCTACAATTTTTAAAATGACCTTATTGACTACAGGTTCAGGTGAGCAGCTGTGCTGGTCTGAAGCGACAGACCAAAGTTTGAGTCCAGTGGCACCTTTAAGACCAACGAAGTTTACTTCTGGGTGTAAGCATGCACACGAAAGCTTATACCGTGAATAAAACTTTGTTGGTCTTCAAAGTGCCACTGGACTCCAACGTTGTTTTGCTG